TGGTACTGACTAGTATTCCAGTGTTTCTCTTCTCACTCAGTTTTTCTCCATCACTGAGCTAATGTGACCCCAGCACTGATGGAGAGGGGCAGGAGAGGGTCAAACTAGGATGCTGTGGAGGCAGCTGACATCCTCCTTATCAACTGATGATGTCATTGGTTGTCAGGACGCCAGTGGCTACAAGGTTGTAAAGGTGCACAATAAAAGCCTGTGGCTTTGTGTACCTAAAAGACAGGCTTGTATACAAGTTTTAGGCAATTTTTAGACATTTTGCCAAGGCACCCCTGAAGAAACCTTAAGGCACCCTGGTTGAGAAAGGCTGTTCTGCTATCAGCATGCTTGTTGTCAGCACATAAAATAATTGGCTCCTTCTCTTACACTGAATGCATTTAAAATAATATATTTTAAACAATGTATAAATAATTACATAGTTGCGTTATTTGTGTCTTATAGATGCCTGGAGTTCACTCTTCGTGAAAAAAGCAATCATGATGTGCAAATTGTTGTAGCCCCTGATAACCAATTTGGTTTCATCTAATTACATGCAGATAAAAGATCATTTATGACTGACTGCTGTGGGTTACAGTACTTTGTTTATTATTGGTGCATTTTGTATGTCCTTATTGAATTAACCGAACTGATGTACAACAGCTTGATTAATAGAGTCAATCTGTGGAAAATGCTGCTATTACTGCAAAGCATTGTTTTGGCATCTTCAAATAGCAAAGATATATCATAAATTGTTGCACATGAAATGAAAGGCAATGGAACTAAACATAAACTGACAAAAAAAATGACATAGAGGGCTCTGCCTTGAAATGCCCTGTAATTACTGAAGATGATGTTGTACAACAGATCATCTACTCCATTAATATGATTAAATGATTAAAATATTAAAGCTTGTTGAAGGAAGCTTTTTTAAAGGTCAGTTATCTAAAATAATAAATTGTCTTAACTAAGCTTGTATAACATTTCATACTAAAATAGCTTATACCCTACTCTATGCTTTTGTGCAAATCTTGAGGCTTATCCAGCAAATTAGTGAGTTTTTCAGTTGTTTTCAAAAGCAACTTGTGTAATGCCACCTGTGGCAAATTTTTAATTCATCATTGAACAGTAGGCAGTGGAAAATTAGCTAAACAGATGTCCTGCCACTCCAAATAAATTTAACAAGGCAGTTAGTTATTGAAAGGAGAAGGTCATCCAGTGCCAAGGGCAAAAATGCCAACTGCACCCTCCCACCATATGTGCACCCAATTGTCTTGTGTAGCTGGGATCCCACTCCCAGCTGCCACCATGCTTGTCTCAGAGCTACTGCACAGCTCCAGGTCCACCAGTCAAGTTTCACATGAACCCAGAAGTATGCAATAACATTGTAGGACCTTCCTGCTGTATTCCTCTGTGTCTGTTGGTCTCTTTGCACTGACTGTGTTTAATGCCGGTCTGACCAGAGACAAAACTAAGGGAAGTGCACCAGGGGCATTACTAGGATTATAAAAGACCAGGGATCTTCAGGGAATGGCAAATAGAAGTGAAATATGTGCTAACAGTGGAAGGACTTAAAAAGGTATAATTAAATAGGACCTGAGCCCACATGCTCTATACACAGCACACATATGGCATAGTCCTTGTTCCCACAAAATTTCTACTTTATCATTTATAGTGTGCAACCTTAAGGAGAGTCTCTCGCAAGCTGTTTGCAAGTAAGGAGACTTGCGAGGTGAATCCTACCTAGACTAGTAGCCTCACTTGGATATAAGAACATATAGGGGAGCAAGGGGGCCACCCTCAAAGAGTCTTTAAAGGAGAACCAACCACTAGCCTTATTTTAATAGTGATTGGATGATTGTTATTTTTACCTAATTTTATGTAAATTTTGATCTCAATAAAGCTGTATGGTTTGGTTACACTGAGGTTGGTTGTCCTTTAAAATCTCTTTAAGGGTAGCCCCTCGGTCCCCTATATGTTCTTGTATCCAATTAAGACCATGGTTTTTTAGTACCCCACTATAAAATGTATGGTGATTCGGTGACCTGTGACCAGTAACTGTATGTTGAAATCTCCCCTAAGGGGGATACATAATCTTATATAGCAAGCATTTTATCTCTTTAGCAGTCTCGCTTCCCTGAAAAATGGCAACCTGACAAAGGTTGAAAACAGAAGCAGCTTGTATGCAGTGGGACAGCTATGGGAGAGCTGGAAGATAATAGAATCCAGCATTACCAGAAGTCCCAGTTTTCTATTGATTTTTCAGGTCTTAAAAATAAAGAAAAGAGCAAAAAAAATAGCAGATGTGGATCTTGTTTTATTAAAAGCATTTAAATAAAATATTTATTCTGGGGATATTGTCTGTTAAGCTACTCTGCCACAAATGAGAGCCTCACTGAACCATTTCATTACATATTCTATTCTACACATAGAAAAGAGCCAGAGAACTAACACTTTCCCTGAGCCTACCTTAAAGAAAAACATTTTAACCTAAACATTAAACTAGTCAGGGACTCCTTAGTAACCAGTAACTCTTGAGACAATGAGCATTTTGGTCAGGAGTATATTACTACTATTGGCATATAGAGTTCAGAGATTAAGAGTATGTAATGTACAGAATGTCATACGTAACACACAGTATAGCATACAGAGTGTAGTACTGTAAGTATGTAACACACAGCAAGGTATGTGTACAATACGTACACACAGACTGTAATACTGTACACAGTATGTTGCACACACCTGACTGCTACTTGGTTAAGGAGATGGTAACTTTCAGTTTGACCAATGATACTATGTTGGCATGATACTCAGCATGTAAAAGTTATTATAAATAAGAAATAAAGCTATTTTTTTAAATGTGTGTATTTTTTAATGCAACACTAAATGGAATTGAAAGAAAAACACTTATGTACTGTCAAAAATAAAAGTTTAATCTGCTAAAAGGGGTTACTTCAGAATTTAATGTAACAATATCATTAAAATGTATCTAATGTAACATCCATTAAAGTTGAATTTCAGGAATTAGGCTGGACTTAACTCATTACATGCCTGCGGTTTTTAAAAAGTAGCTGAATTCCTGCAGTTCACCTTTCATCATGCTCTATATTCACAAAATAGCCACTTGCAGCAGCACAGAGTTTACACTCACTGGGGTGGATATAGGGGGATATGCGAAGAGCACTATGCTCAAGGTACTTAGCCTGGGTTCAGCACTGTTTGATTCATGCGCATAAACATGCATTAGTCCAGGTGTTAATGGGTGTTGAACTAAGGAAGCCTATTCATTTGAATGGGCTGCCTAACACACCAAAATGCTCCAAAAAGGTAGAAGTGCTATCTTTTGTAATGCAGTGCACCTAAATACAAAGCACTGAGATATCATATGTTTTGGTGCACTGTAACCTACGTGCTTTGAGTGCCCTAGATTGTAAGCTCTAATGAACAGGGTCCTCTGTTTCCTCTTGTACCAAATTGTATTGTAACTGTAATGTCTACCTTCATTTTGTAAAGTGCTGCACAAACTGTTGGCGCTATATAAATCCTGTATAATAATAATAATGATAATAAAAATAAATGGCACCACAGCACACCGTAATGTTGCTGCAGAGCAATTCAGCCTAAGATGACATTTTTAGGTGGCACAATAGGAACCTATTAAACCTGAACCTAAGCAGATATTAGAAAATGATTTACCAACTTATATTATCTTCCTGTGTTCCAAGAGACCCATATACGGAGCACAACTTTCAGCTGTACAGTCAGAGCTTTGTTACAGACCCTTGAAATACATGCCTCTCTATTGCTTACAGAGTCAAAGTATGTTGCATTTTGGATTGCAAGATGTGGTACAGCTACTCTTCTGAGTTGGAAGATTTCAAGGTTTCTATCTTTCTCCTAGAAAACATGCACATTGCATAATTGCAAATCTGTAGGTTGTAACAAGGGTGATGTCAACATTCTGTAACTTCCTGGGTCTTAGTCACAGATACCACGGCCTCTCGTCTCTCTAGCAGACCTCTTAGATCTTTTCAGTGGCTAGCTGCATTTTTATGTGGACAATGTCCTGTTATTGTCATTTATTTAACTGCTGTGTGTTGAGACATTTAAAATATTTTAGAATCAGAACACTAGATGCAATGTTCAGAAAACCAGTTGGTATGAGTCATAATGTCTGCACACCAAAGGGTGCACAGAGACTTTACAAATGCTACAGAAAATAACTGGATACTCCCTAAGAATCATCCTAGGCTTAAAATAGCTGCTGCCATACCTGTCCATTTTATAGTGGAGAAATCCAACCAGTATGTGCTTGGGTTCTTGGCATTAGTAATTCCTATGTTCCTCTGTTATCATTCTACAGAGTATATCCATTTCTCTCCTACACCAAAGATGAATGATGAGAAATCAAAGCTGGGTACTCTCATTTTAGGAATGTCCATCTGCACCCAAATCCAGGTAAAAGCTACACATTTTTTTTTTCTGCATAATTATGTTTGATAAATCCCACTATTAGGATTTTGTGTTAGCTGTTTAGTCGTGTTAAATTTTGGAACTAACACAGATTTATTTTATACATTTATAGTAACTTTAAGATACAATTTATCTGCTTCAAGTTCCCTTCTCCTTTTTTGATATTTATTATTTGTCATACTGTCACTTTTGTCAATATAGATATTTTTGAATTTATAACATAACAGAGTTTAGACACCAATGGTATTTTTGATGGGACCGAAGGTCCTAAGGATGATCTTAACCACTTGTCTACTGGTCATTTTCACCCCCTTCCTGGCCAGGCCAATTTTTAGCTTTTAGTGCTGTCGCTCTTTGAATGACTATTACGTGGTCATGCAACAATGTACCCATATGAAATTTTTATCCTTTGTTTTGAGACATAGAGTTTTATTTTGGTGATATTTACTTACCACTGGGTTTTTTTATTTTTTGCTAAACATTTTGCAAACAAGTAATTTTTCAACTTTACTGTTGTGCATTGATGAGGCTGCACTGATGGGCACTGATATGCAGCACTGATGGGCACTGATAGGCTGCACTGATGGGTACTGATGAGGCGGCACTGATGAGGCTGCACTGGTAGGCAGCACTAATGGGCACTGATAGGCTGCACTGATGGGCACTGACGAGGAGTCACTGATGAGACTGCACTAATATGCGGCACTGTTGGGCACTAATAAGTGGCACTGATAGGAGGCACTGATAGGTCACTGATAGACGGCACTGACAGGCACTGACTGGCAATCATAGACACTGACTGGTGGCACTGATGGACACTGACTGGCGGCGCTGATAGAAAATTACTGGTGGCACCGATGGACACTGATTGGCAGCACTGATGGTCACGTCTGGGACTGCACTGATGGACACTTCTGGGACTGTACTGATGAACATTGTTGGGGTTGCACTGATGTCCCCTTGGGGCTGCACTGATCTCCTCTGATGTGTGAATACACTTGTCGACTACTGGCTCTCTTCTCTCTCCATGCTGTGACAGCGTGAGGAAAGTGTAGCCGATAACTGTCAACTGTATTTACATTGATCTGGTAAAAGGGCGCTGTGATTGGCCTTCTACCATGTCATGTGATCAGCTGTGTCCAAAGAACACAGTGATCACAGAGCTCACCGGGTGAATGCCCCCGGGGGTTCGCAGGAGGCATGGTTCTGGGAGATGTCATATGACACCCTCCCAAAACTAGACAACCATGATGTAGCCGTCATTCAACTACAGCCTGGTGATCAAGTGGTTAATGCATATTTTTTGTGACTTAAGAACTAAATGATTGCGGAAATCCACACTAAATGAGATATAGCCTTTTGTGAGCAATATATGGGAGAGAATATGGTTCCTAGTCTATGCTCGGAAGTGTCTCCACAAAAGGAGGAGAGAGAATTACAGGAGTGGTTTGAATATTTCAACAAAGCGGGGGTTTTTTATTCTTTTTGATAACTAAGAAAAAGCAAACTTGGAAAAGTTGGATGAGGAGATTAATTTTAGTGAAACTCTTCCTGCTTAAAGAGAATGCTGACTACACTGCTAAATCTAAAGCTCTTAAGAATACCCTCCTGAAGGAGGAAGCTGATCAAAAAGCAAAAAAGAAGAGAAAATACAACAGGGATGTGGGAGATTATAAGAGCAATGTGGTTTTCAAATGGCAAACTCTAGAAGAAGCAAATGAAAGTGAACAAGTCCCTATCCCCTTCATGCAAGACGGGTTGGTTATTTTGGTAAGGAATATTTAACACTAGTTCCAAGGAAGGATAACCATAAAAATAAATAACAATGGGCCCCTGGGAGAGGAAATGGGTATGATACCTGGTACAATAGTGCTGATGCAGGTAAGAACCTAATGGGTGCACCCCTCCATTACTCTCAATCATCCAATGTTTATACATCCTCCCAATACTCTCAAGCACAAGCTAGAAGGAGGAGAAAATTTAGGTTCAAACAACACAATAGACCTCCATATACACTTTTCTGTTAATGGGGGAGAGAGGATTCCAGACATAGACAAGGGGAGTATCCCTTATAGAATAGATACATTTCACCTTCGGAGAGAGGGAGACATTTCTCTTCTGCTGGGAGAGAGAGGCGCTTCTCCAGAAGAGACCATTCTGAGGGGAACTTAGGTATGAAATACACTGCTCAAAAAAATGTAACCACATGCCTACTGGGCACCTTTACCCCCTTGCTACCCAGGCCAATTTTCAGCTTTCAGCGCTGTTGCACAATTGTGTGGTCATGCTCCACTGTATCTCCTGTACTCCAAATGAAATTTGTATCTTTGTTTAATTGCACTGGGTGTTTTATTTTTGCACTATAAACACACAAAAAAAACGTTTTTCTTTGTTTCTATTATAAAATTTTGCAAACAGGTAAATTGTCTCCTTCACTGATTTGCATTGCTGAGGCTGCACTGATAGGCAGCACTGATGAGGCATCACTGATAGGCTGCATTGATGAGTCAGCACTGGTGGGATTTGATGAAGAGGCACTGATGATGCTACACTAATATGTAGCACTGATGGGCACTGATAGGCACTGATAGGCGGCACTGATGAGCACTGACTGGTGGCACTGACTGACAGCACTGACTGGTGGCACTGACTGGTGGTACTGATGGGCAGAACTGGTGGGAAGCACTGATAGGCACTGATGGGTGGCACTGATGGACCCTGATGGGTGGCACTGCTGGGCACTGCTTTTGGTGTTGCACTGATAATCAGTTCCCTGATTATCATTGCAGATGTCCTCTGTGACACTTGAAAGTTATTAGCAGTAATTCCCTCACGCTGTGACAGCGTAAGGAACATGCTGCCGATAACTGGCAACTGCATTTACTTTGTGATTGGCTGTGTCATTGGACACAGCTGATCACGTGATAAAAGGCCACTGTGTTTGGCCTTTTAGCTTGTCATGTGATCAGCTAGGAAAAAAAACGATCACAGACAACACCAAGTGTGTGCTGCTGGGGGCGCGCAGAGAGGGAACGTTCTGGGAGGACGTCATATGATGACCTCCCAGAACTGGAAAACTGCGCTGAGCTGTCATTTGGCTATAGCTAAGTTGTCAAGTGGTTAAAGGAACACTTTGAAAACACATCAGATCTGTTAGAAACATAAGGATACCCCATTGTTTGACTGAATTCAAAGACACCCCGCAAATAAAAGTGAGAAAATGATGCAGCAGGCTAGTCCATTTTGCTAAAATTTCATTTCAGTAACTCAAAATGGTACTCAGTAGTTTGTATGACCCCCACGTGCTTGTATGAATGTCTGACAATGTTGGGGCATGCTCCTAATGAGACAACAGATGATACAACAATGATACAGGCAGCATAACATTCTCCATGGCTTCTCGAGATCCTTTCATATCTGTCACATGTGCTCAGGGTGAACCTTTTCTCATCTGTGAAAAGCACAGGGTGCCAGTGGCGGACCTGTCAATTCTTGTCTTCAATGGCAAATGCCAATCGAGCTCTATGGTGCCGGACAGTGAGTACAAGGCCCACTAGAGTACAACGGGCCCTCAAGCCACCCTCATGAAGTCTGTTTCTGATTGTTTGGTCAGAGACATGCACATTAGTGGCATGATGGAGGTCATTTTGTAGGGCTCTGGCAGTGCTCATCCTGTTCCTCCTTGCACAAAGGAGCAGATACTGGTCCTGCCGATGGGTTAAGGACCCTGTCCAGCTCTGCCTGTCTTCTGGAATCTCCTCCATGCTGTTGAGACTGTGCTGGGAGACACAGCAAACCTTCTCCCAATGGTACATATTGATGTGCCTTCCTGGAGGAGTTGGACTGCCTATACAACCTCTGTAGGGTCCAGGTATTGCCTCATGCTACCAGTAGTGACACTGACCCTAGCCAAATGCAAAACTAGTGAAAACAGTCAGAAAAGAACAGTAGGGAAAAAATGTCAGTGGCCTCCACCTGTAAAACCGTTCCTGTTTTGGGGGTTGTCTCATTGTTGTCCATCTAGTGCACCTGCAGTTAATTCCATTAACACCAAAGCAGCTGAAACTGATTAACAAACCCCTCTGATACTTAACTAAGGAGATCAATATCCCAGGAATTTAATTGACTTGATGCTATACTCTGATTAAAAAGTGTTCCTTTAATTTTATTGACCAGTGTATAGTGTCCCCACCTCCGATAGATATAACCCTCTTAATGACAGAGCTTTTGGGGGTAATGTGAATGTAATCAGAGAGCATCCCCTAGTGGCTTCCCGTCCTAAGCAAGGTAGACCCCAAGAACAGGTTCATTACAGGAACTTAAAGCTATGCATTGGTCAAGAGAATTATTCCTTAAAGGAATGCTGCATCAATATCCAAGTTGTGTGTGACATCATAGCTAACAGATCTGGGTCCCTGGCTGCCATGACAACTGTGCCCTCAGCAATCCTCTCTATAAGGAAAATTTTAAAGCAAAAAGATGCCAGATGAATGGCTGATGAGCAAGTTCTTTTTTGGGGTATTATTACCTATTTTTCAATGTTTTAGCATCCTTATTTTTTATTATTACACATTTTTGGTGCTAAAATACAGAATGTTGATTATACCCTTGGCTGCTAACTCCTCGACAAAATAAAAAGACAGCAACTGAAATCTGTTAATACTTCACATGAGAAGACCTGCACATATTTAGACAGACATTTGGAAAAAATTAGAATTTGGATACAGCCGAATATTATAACATTCATATTCAGATGTCCTGCAGTGAACAGCTGGAGTCTTGCAGTACTAAGAAAAGTAGATGGAAAAGAAGTTAGACATCACTGTAGCATGTGCCATCCTACATAATGCTGCTATTAAAAAACAATGAGGACTTCACATTATATAATACTAGCAAATGTGCCTTTTCATGATTGAAGTAATTTTTGAAATTGGTGCATTGTTAATCGTGGCCTGTAATAGTGGGCAGCCAACTATGACAGATTTGCAGAGGACTGTGACATAATTAACACTGGAGATGAGTCAGATTTTACTCCAAAACAGATGCACAATTAAGAAGTAGTCAGGGAAGGTTTATTCTGTCCCAGTGCTACTTTAGAGCAGCTGAGGGAAAATGTATTAATCAAACTGCAATATTATAATAAATCTCTTTCCTTGATAATATTTAACATTTTTGCAATGCAACAAAATTGCCAAATATCCCAACGTATTTACATGTCTTATTACTTCACAAATCCCAAAAATGAAGAGAAAGCATTTATTTTAATATAGTAAGTGGCTGATTTACAGCACAGATAGAACATAATATTACAGAAAAGTATTCCCAATACCATATAGGCTTGTTGGACCTCCATCAGTGCAGTGCATGGAAAACATTTGGGAACAATGAGTTTGTACACTTGGGGTGGGATCTCACTAAGAAAATACCAATATGTGATCTGAAGTTGGGATCTCAGTGAGGAATCACCAATGTGTGTCGACACACATTTTTGTTTATTATGCAATTTGTATGTTTGATTGCATCTATTACATGCAATGTATTTGGGGGGGGGGGGGGGTGACATTTCATGGGCAAAACCAATCTGTGTGTGGGGGTGGGGGGATGTGATCTTAC